ATGAATGAATGTCACCAGCACACCAAAAATGCTTTCAGGATAACCATGTGTTTATTTAATTAGAACCATGTCAAGTGATCTTTTTGATCACTTGACAGTGTTTTTTTAAATCCCATTTCATCTCCTATTTTTATTAGATAACTAGTAATAAGTAGCCTATCAACCCCTTTTCACCCCCCTTCATTCCTTCCTTGCAGTCTTTCATAGTTATTATAAGCAGATGTACATTTCAGACCACATTACCAGCAGTGCTCATTATGTAATAGAATAGACAATATTAAAGTACTTATTATCATAATAAAAATCTTTTTACAGGAAAAAAAACATTGAAAGCAAACAGCCACTGGAGTGTTGATGCAGGTGCCTCTGGGATGCACATTCTTCCTTTGTAAATGCCTGGCAGAGTTCCATGCAAAAACAATAGTAATGCCAGATTATTAATACTATCCTCTAGGAGACCGCATACTAAGCTTTTAATACCACAGCTACTCTAAGCTAATATTGGTTGTTAGTATTCCTGACTCCATTTAACTAGTGAAGTAGTCAGTGATCACTTGTTCATGCACTAGAATTACTGCATTCTCTATTTCAGTGTTCATTGTTTATCCAAACAAAAGGATCATAAAGCATGTTGGGAGCTGCAGTCTGCTCATTTCAGCCCTATTTCATACATCATATGTAGTCAGTCACGTATGAATCATTCCCATTATTCTACTGGTTGTGTTTTCATGATCTCTTGTTTTCATTCAGTAGGCTGTGATGTTAGCATGTATCTAAGTAACAACTGAGCATGTGCAACTGCTCAACAGAGCTTGCTGGCTTACTTTGAGGACAATGGGTGGCCAAATGATACCAAGTTCACTCATCTCCTGGCTTTTTATTTTTATAATAACTATTATATGCCCAGGCTTCACTGCAATAAAGTTTTAACTGCATATCAAATTTAGGATTCAGTTCTCATGTTTTATACACTGTCAACAGCGGACAAGCAACCAAAGCAAAGTACTGAGTTGTAAGACATGACACTAAACTAGCTTTTCTTAAGCAGGGTGCCACTGCACCCTGGTGTGTCTTCTGATTTCCTCAGGGATGTCTTAAAATATTGTACTAGTGGGACTGTGATTTGAAGGTGGGAATAAAGACTAAGGTGAAGGGGGCTACTGATGTAAAGGGGGGACCTCTGATGTGAAATAGGGAGAATCTGATATGAAAGAGAGGCTTCTAATGTGAAAGGGGGGCCCCTGATGTAAAGGGGGGCTACTGATGCAAATGATCACTTGAAGAAATGTCACCAGCACACCAAAAATCCTTTCAGGATAACCATTTGCTCATTTAATTAGAATGATACATATACATATACATCCTTTCCATTAAATTGGTACATAGAATAGTACATTTCACTGATTTGCACAATTTTCAAAAAAGCAAATTACAGATTAGGATTGTTAACATGTATTATACTACGTGGACTGTGGGCTAAGCATCAAGTATATTATTATATTATTTTTATTATACAGAATTTATATAATGCCAACAGTTTGTTCAGCGCTTTACAATATGAAGGAAGACAGTACAGTTACAATACAATTCAAGATAAGATTGTTTTTTGCTCCCATTCTCAGCAGCACATACTTACCTTTCAATAGTTACCATGACGTGAATAGAGCCATATTCCGCAGGACTCATTTATAACATAGGGTCCTTTCAGTCCATTCATAAAATGCAGGTTGCATTATGAAGCCTGAAATGTCCTACTGAGGTCTTTCTGCTTAACACGTCATGATTGGAGGAGAGTTGGATTTTCCTTCCAGCTTTCTTTTTATGTGATTGAATTGAGAGTCCTGAAGCAGCAGTATGGCTGCACTGATTTTTAAATTATGCCTTAGGCTGACAGGCTGACTGCATAGGCATGGCCAGTCCTGAATAAGATACCTGTCAAGAGGATGTAAACAGAGGGTGGAGGCTGAGGGGTTAATACAGTAAGTTAGTGTAAGGGGTTCTAGGTTAGGGAACAAGGGAGATTGGACTAATGCTAAGGTAAGTAAGCAGCTTGTGGGGGACAGATTACTTGGTCCATGTAGGGAGTTCTGGGTTGGGGCTAAAAGGGAGCATTGACTAATGTAGTAAAACAAGTCAATAATGGCAGCATTGATATATCTCAGGGGTTCACTTTATTTTAAATGTCGTTCTTGTGTTAAAACTATTTCTAATTTTACATTGTGTTTGTTTTCCCAAATAAATGTTTTCTTTTTCTTTTAGGCCTGGGATTTGCACTTTGTTACAGCCCTGCAATTGCCATGGTGGGAAAGTACTTTGACAAGAGAAAAGCCTTGGCTTATGGGATTGCCATGTCAGGCAGTGGCATTGGCACCTTCATCTTAGCTCCGGTGGTTCAGGTGCTAATTGAACAGTTTTCCTGGAGGGGAGCTCTGCTCATCCTCGGTGGCTTTGTAGCCAATCTTTGTGTCTGTGGTGCTTTAATGAGACCTATAAGCCTGAGAGATGACTTTGCACACTCTTCACTAAAGCAGGAGCACAATCCAAATAACAGTACAAACACATCTACCAAGTGTTCACCTCTGAGCCAGGACTGTAGTCACAAGAGCCTCTGCTACTGCTCCCAGAAGGAATACAACTTTCTCCTGAAGCCAAACTTCATTGTACTGGCTGTTTCCTTCCTCTTCTTAGCCTATGGATGTAGCCCTCCATTTGTCTACCTTGTGCCTTATGCTCTAAGTGTCGGAGTTAGCCACCAACAAGCAGCTTTTCTGATGTCTATTCTTGGTGTCATAGATATTGTTGGGAACATCACGTTTGGGTGGCTAACTGACAGAAGGTAAATTCAATTCAATTCTATCTATACAACAAAACATTTGGGCATATTTTTGGTGGAAGTGATGGTTTAACATGATATGGTGTAAGATGTTTCTGAAATAAAGCTCGATTCTGTGAGGTTGGGCTTTGAAAGCAATGAGATAGTATAAACAGTTGGGTTGCATAAAGTGGAAGGATATACTGGCTCATTGCTCTCAAACCAGTAGTCCACACAGTAGTGTCATATGTTGGATATGCAAATGCATTCACTTTGAAGTATATCTAAACCCCAAACCTTTTTGTTTATGTTTTGGATGGCGTGTGGAAGGATTAGAACTCCTACCAGTTTGTATTTATTTATTCATTTTTTGCTATCTCTGAAAGGTGAAGGCAAATCTAGAACAGGAGCTGAGGGAAAATCTACCAATGGGAACATCTGTGACAACTTTCCCCAGTGGAGAGATTTTTTTTTTCCCAGTGGGATACACATAGCAGAAGAAAACCTGGCAGTGGTTCTAACCATTCCCAACTCTACCCAAAACTAAATAAAAGGTTATTACTTTAGATATATGTTAATGTTATTAATTTGTTCTATGTTTCTTAAGGTTTTAAAAAACTTGATAATTTTATATTTTTTAATGTTAATTGCGCATGCAACACATTAGCTTTTCACATGTGCAATCTATGTGGCTGCATGAACCCGAATGGTGTTGGCCAAACAGTGACAGAATGCAGTTATTGCTCTGTCTACAATATTCCACCCGGTTCCTTCAAATTTTTTGATCAACGTTTGTTGAGCTGGGTGCTGCTGACAGGGCTAGTCACGGCTTCAATGTCCGTCGATATGGCAGGAATCAGCCAAAGTTTGAACCATTTATGGCTAGCTTTAGTCTAACAAACTTATTCTGTGCTTATTCTGTTATCTCTGTAGACACCAAAAAGGGTACTAAGAGCACAGCCAGAGAATCTATAAATCTGTGAACCCTTTGATATTTGAATTTGTACTGAAAGTGTAATTAACTTCTGCTTAACCTAAACATGTCACACATGTGTATGATTCAAACAGAGCATGTGATGAAAACAGGCATTAGCAAAGGTTAGCCTGAGTGAAAATTGCATGTTAAGATGATCAGCGAAAGATATAGGCAGCTGAATTTACATGCAAATCATAATTTGTCTTGCAAAAGTTGAGCTTGGTCAATCCCTCATCCTGCCTCCAATGCCAGTCTATTGGCAAATAAGACTACCCACAACATTAACCACTTGCTGTCCAGAGCAATTTTTCTTAATCTTTGCACACACATGATAAAATATGATTTTTTTTTACTATTTTAAAACCCGAAAATATATATTTCTGAAAGCAGAGGCCCTGTAGAATAAAAAAAATGCTAGTTGCAATATTTTATACTGCACTATATTTGCGCAAATGTTTATCAAACCAATATTTTTAGGATAAAATATTGAACACTAAAATACGTTTTAGTGCACAGAAATATAATACCCCTTTTTTGGTCAAATATAAAAGATGGAGTTGTGTCGGGTAAATAGATACCAAACATGTAAAATCTTAAAATTGTGTGCACCCGTGAAATGGCAAAAAACTACAATACCCAAAATTGCCCATAAATGGCTTTTACTGCTCATCAGTTTAGTGTTAACAGTGATTGATGGCCTTAGAATTATTGCTCTCACTCTGATGTTCGCAGTGATATGTAACATGTGTGGTACAACCATCATTTTTGCACAATGCGTGTTTGTATATGCATGTACATGGAGGTGGGGGACTTTAATTAAGAGGATGTGACAAGTCCTCTTTATGGAGAGATCTTGGGTATTAAACCCCTAATGTCATCTTTGGAACCCAAAGAAGCTGATGAAGTACAGACCAGCTTATTTGGCTTCATCAGCTTCTTCTCCGAACACAGCAGCCGGAAAAATGACAGACTGAACCTGGAAGTGGTGTAATACACATCACTTTCCATTTGTGATCGGAGGGGAGATCAGCCTTTGGAAGTGTGCAGATCTCTCTTCGCTCGAGGTGCAGGGATCTGTCGTGCTGCTCACGGGCCTATACTGGGGACACTGGAGCCTGGGATAGCCGGCAGCGGCAGTGCGGGGGTGCAAACTTTGCGGCTCCATGCAAGTGGGCAGGCAGCTTTATAGCCACCTGAATGTATGTATGTGACAGCCATTGCCAGCTGCAGGAGCAGTGATATTGGTATACCACTTCAGGTCCGCACCATTTATATATGTTAGGCAGACCAGAAGTAGTTAAAGGACCAATATCTAGGTACATGAGGTGAAAAAGAGTGGTGGGGCCAGTGTCAACCTTTAGGCTGGGTTCACACCATAAACAGTGCGTTCCAGAGCCGCCAGCCTCTGGAACGCACTGTATCATATTCCGTTCAGGGGCGGGAGGGGGCGTGGCAGTGAATTGAAGTCAGACACCCCCCCACACCCACAGTGTGATCGCACGCACCAGAACGCGTGGCACTAAGGTGCCTGCGTTGCACTCCAGTGTGAACTGCAAAAATTCTGAAAAACGGACTTCAGCTGCCTGTATCTCTACATCTGCTGATTATTAACGTGCAATTTTCACTGTGAATTTTCACACATTTATTTTTCAGCCATTAAACTGAATTGCCCAGGTTTGTGACAGTTTTACTCTGATGAGAGTAGCAGGTTTCACTATTCTCACTATTTCTCTATCTCTGCCCTGTGTCGCAGGGCTTTGGGCTTGTGTCGAGGGATTCATTTGACATCAATTTGAGATGCTTCATATCAGATCATTTAGAATTCATTGATATGCATTTGATGAGCTCCTTCTGACCTGGGTTGGACCTGCTCCAAATGAGTTTCACATAGACTTGTATGAGAATGCAAACCCACTTGGAGCAAACAAAAGCCCAGGCACAGGTCCATTTCAAGCATTCTAAACTGTATAATATAACTGACTCCAGTGAATAAATGGCAGCAAACAAGAGAACATCACCTAGAACATATATTATCATAAAACTTTTAAAAATTCATATTTTAAGCATGCTGACTAATGTAACCATAGATGATGGATGCAGTTTAAAAAAAAATAAGAAGCTAGTGCCCTCTAGTGTAAAAGTCACGCATGTGAGCATTTGATGAATATGCGGCCATTGCTGGAAATAAAGGTAAACTCCAGGGAGCCATAAAGTTCTAATAAAACATAGGCCTCCTTGGTCTAAGCACTGACCGGGCAAGCATGACCAGGAGCTACACCTCCCCTACTCCTACACCATGGCCTATTAGTATTTCCAGTTCTCCTACCTCCCTGTATTACATTTACCCTGGTTGATCTGCTGGGTAGGCCATTGTAAATCCACCTGAGCAATGGAAACGGGTTCAAATAGATTTTTTGCCTTTGCAAAAAGAGTTTAATTCATCTCTGCTGTGGCCATAGTCTACAAACATTTAAGACACACACACATTTTAATGGTAAATGTCACTCCCCTATGATAGAGCTATGCTTTACTCAAATCATGTTACCTCGTTGTGCATGCTTCACCCACACTACAAGGAGAATCCAGGATTAGTGCCACATGCAGTAAGTAAGCCTGTGTGTTTCAATGTTATTCATACTCCATTGGTCAGTATTTTCTTTTCAACTTTCTCTACACATGCACAGAATCCAAGGAGTCTCAGGGCAACAGGGAAATGGAAACTATGGCAATAGTACCTTTGGTTTATTTTGGTAAATTTTTAATTATTAAGAGTAATATTATAATGCATGTTATAAGAAGTGTGTTTGTATTGCAGGCTCCTGAAAAAACACAGATATACCTGCTACCTCATAGCTGTGGCGCTGGATGGTCTTAGCTGCCTCTTTCTGCCAATTCTCAATAGCTTCCAGTTGCTTGTGCCTTTTTCTGTTACATTTGGTTACTTTGATGGAGCCTATGTGGCTCTGATTCCTGTGGTGACTGGAGATGTAGTTGGAACAGCTCACTTATCGTCTGCCCTCGGAGTAGTGTTTTTTCTCCATGCGGTGCCTTATTTAGTGAGCCCTCCTATATCAGGTAAGTCTACATCAGTATGTAAAGAAAAATCCCCATAAGAGCCCAATGGTGTGGTGAAGTGTATTAATGCCTCTGTTCTACAAATCCAATCCTATGTCATATACTGTGTGGCCCTGGTACTCAATTTATAGCCTGGAGGCCGCATGCGGCCCTTTGGTACGGATACCACCACTGCTTTATGGGATGGAATTTTCACAGATTTGCTGCAGATTTTCTCTGCAAATAATTTACCATTTAAAATTTTTACTGTGTGAACATCTTCTTGACATGCTTAACCACATTAAGAAAATGGCGATGGATATTTAGGTCTTTTTAATTTGGGAACAGACTATTTTAAGTAAAACGTCTCTTCGATAAGAATATTTTTCTTATCAAATATGGAGTTAATTTGTGGACTGTGGAAAATCATAGTAAATTCTCAAAATGTAGTCATGGCTAATATTTAAACAAAAAAGTGTGTCTGGCAAGGGGCAAAATTAGAACATCAAGATCTGTAAGATAGTTAAGCAGCAATGCAAAAGAGAGGTTATTCTGTGTTTCATCATCTGAAAATATGCAAATATTATTGTTTGCAATAACTTAGCCAGTCCACCCAAAATGGATATTTAAAGTGAAATTAAACCTTTACTTTTTTTTTATTTGTACACATGGGAGCACCATTGTGAGATGCAGATCTTTTGTGTTCTTTTTTCTTTAATTCTTTCAATTCCTCGTTCTCTAATGGGTCCCTGCAGTCAGGGCCAGATTTACTCTCTCTGCTGCCCCAAGGCCAGGTTCCTCAACGCGCCCCCCCTACCTGCCAACCCCCCCCACCATGGAGAATGGGAGACCTGCAGGCTGCATACAATGCCGCCGAGATCACTTGTACAAAACAAGCGGTGGCTTCCCTGCTGTACATTTAGCTCTGCTTGCCCAAAGCAGGGCTAAATGTAGAAAACAACTACCCGCCCAGGCATCGGGAGATATCAGTTTCACACCCTTGCTGCCCCTCTACTCCCTGCTGCCCCAAGGCGGGGCCTTGGTTGGCCTTGTGGGAAATCCGGCCCTGCCTGCAGTGCTCTCCCCCTGGATGCTGGAGAGTTAAACCACCTAGCAGTGTCTCATATGTCTCCGAATCTCTGGTCATGATGAAACCTCTCTGACTGAATACACAGGTATCTTACATTAATTGGTCATTAAAAGGGGACTCCAATCCCCCTCTCAGTATTTTAATCTATTTCATATTATGTAAAATCCAGCAGAAGTGGAAACCCCCAAGGTGGGTTGGGTGGGAACAGCTATACCTCCAACGTAATCAGGAATAGCTGTAGAATTATGGCGGGGATATCTCACCACTGGAATCCCTAGAAGATATAGTAAGCCAGATGATCATTCACTGAGCTGTATCTAAACCTGAAACATTAGTTTTATGAGATATATGACACAAAAATCAATGCCACAACTTATGTGAAAAGCAGATAGTATTAGTGGTTAACCTTCTCTCTTTCTTTCGCTAGACTTAAAAGCAGAAGTAGATTAATCTTGCAACAGTTGTTGGTAGATTTTTTCCAATCTAAACATAGCCATGTGGAAATAAGTACTGAGATAAATTTGCAGAGTAGCATTGTTGACCTCTATATCTAAGAATGCTAGGTGCCTGACTAATATTCTTACCCTATGACTCCAATACTTTCTTAGACACTGACCAAGAACAAGTATGCAGATGAGGAGTTTCACTTTAGTCTCACCTGACTTGTTTCAGGTTAGTGATTTAAAAGGAGTTGAAGACAGGGACAGCCAGTCATCTAGCAAATGTAGAATGGATCGGCCGAAGCTACGGCCAGATCCTTCGGCAGCTTCGTGAATAGACCCCATTGTTTAGAGATGGGATGAAAGTTGAAGTGCAGAATAAGATTTTTGGTAGTTAATTAGTACGTTCCATTGCCATTTATACAGCAGATCAAATAGAGGGACAGAGTGATTTGGTTCTAAAAAAAGCAACAGTCCCTTCAAATAGAGTGTTCCAACATAGTGTAATCATTCCCTTTTATCCATAGATCAGTCAACATTCCAGTATGCATTACCGTGTATTGCTGCCTGAAGTAGGGAGAACATATACAGTGGGCATTGGAGATTAAAGAATATTTAAAGCCATTTAAAAAAAAATATTTTAGGTACAACAGGGGAATGGTTTAGACCTCTCCTCACCAGACCATTGTCCCCAGAACAAGTGTGCCCATTGGAAGATTTTCCCTCTATTCCAATTTTGGGGAAAATTCAAAATTCAGAATTTTCACTCACTTTTACACTTCACAAAAGGATGAAGAGTTTGGAAAAGGCAGGAGAAATGAACAATCTAGGACAAAATAGCTGATTTGAGAATATTCTCCAATTCAGCTCACTTTCAGTTCAGCTATGTTGTCCTAAATTGTTTACTTCTCCTGCCTTCTCCAAACTCTTCACCTTTTATTGATAACCCTGTTAGTTTCAAGAAGTAGAGAGAATTAATCTACCTAATGGACACATAGAAAGCAATAAATTATGATAAGGTTCTACCCTTCCCCACTCTATCGAAAACTAAAAAAAATGTTTTGGGTTTAGATACACTTTAAGACATCTATTCAAGCGGTAAGAGCCCTTTATATTTATATCTCTCATAAAATAAAATAAAAAAAGCAAAGTTTTTTGATCCATCTAATGTTGGAATCTATTTTAAAATATTTTTTTCCCTAAACAGGCTGGTTGGTAGACACCACAGGAAACTATACAGCAGCATTCATTTTAAGTGGATTTTCTATGATATTTTGTGCTATTTTATTAGTTTTTGACAAACTAATAAAGAGAATAAAATCCAAAGGACGTTCACGGTCAATGCCAACCTCGGAAACCAAGCAAGAAATCTGCACTAATGGAGACTTATCTTGTTCAGCAACAGAAGAGCATAACAACGTGTAAATGTGCCTTTAAAGTGTCTCTAAAGTGTCCAACTGACAGCAATATACAGTGACTGGATTTTTCGGAATGGGCTATCCTAACCTAGCCAGACTGGATTTATTTTGGGTGGCTATACAGTACATATGACCATAGAAAACACGTTTTGAACGCAAATACTTTTTTCAGTTCACTACAATAAGCTGGATAGACAATGTAATTAATGGCAGACGTCCTCCTTGCATACCATTTGCAACAACTCTGCACTTTATAAGGAATCTTGAGAAGACGTTGATAAACTTTGTAGGTGTTGACAATTTTTGAAAAGGACTAAATATTTTATGCTTGAAATACGATGAGGTCCTTTGTGGATGTAAGACTGGATTTACTGCAACACATTGAAGAAGAGAAACTTTGAACTGTTGAGAACTGGCAAACAATGGTGTTGTATTTGTTTCCCCAATACAATTCACAAAAGCAATAGGCCTTTGCCAAAATTATGTTCAGAACCGGAACTTCTTGTGCATTGGAGCATGTAGAGCACAGAACACAGAACAATTTAGTTATGTGTTGTTGGTTTTAGAGAGGGGAATGAGCTTATTCAATAAGGCAAAGAGTACGGTGCTCCAAGCAGTAGTCCTTCACAGCCAAATCAAACTCTAAATGTGGTCACCTAAAAACTGAGTGGCTGCTCAGGGTTGCTGTACCTTCCACAGTATTAAAACTCTGCTTTATTGAATAAACCAATACATGGTTTAATCACTGGTGTTTTAGTAATCTGGAGTTGTTAAATTCTTAAGCCAATAAGCTACTTTGATGTTTGGAACATTTATACCTTTAAAGTTTTATCATTAAATATGATGTTCTCACCGATATTCACTTTACCTAATTACATGATTCCTGCACTTTTCGTTCCCAGTACAGGAACATAATGAACAGTATTTATCAAAACTGGAGCATCCAAAATCTGGAGCAGCTAAAATCTGGAGCAGCTGTGCATGGCAACCTATCAGAGTCTCTCTTTTCAAATCTTAACTGAACAAACTGAAGAGAGAAGCTGATTGGTTGCCATGCACAGCTGCTCCAGATTTTGGCTGCTCCAGTTTTGATAAATTCCACTTTAATGTTTCTCTGCTCAGCAATCCCACCAGCATCTTTTGTTATCAAACCACAGTTTTGTTTTGTTTACTTGGCCTTATACTGTCTTCTTGTTTGGCACTAACCGTTAAGGCGCTCACAGTGCCAGAAAGTCTCAATGGGTAAATTCATACATAGCATTATGAGGAGCCCTCTGTTCTAAAATGTTCATATTGTAGAAGAGGAGGCCTGATCTCAAAGAAGAATCTGAGTGACTAAAGCAGATGAGAGAAAATACAACTACCAGTAGAAGGCCTTGGATGAGTTACAGGCCCAAATGACCTTTCCCTAAATCAGCTAAATACATTCCAGGTGCATCAAATAAAAGGGTTACAAAGTTTTACAGTTTGTTTTCTTCATAATATAGGCACAGTCTGAGTATAAAAGCCCTTCCCCTGCCAGCACACTGCAGAGAAGGACCCTAGAGAAGCAGTGGTCACTGTGCAGAGGTTCAACACAATCTATATTTACATTTATAGAATAAAAGATGGAGTATAGGGAGTAAGTACTGCATACAGAGCAATGCCATACTACCATGTGTACTGGGTATGTAGTCTCTTGTCACCCAAATCATATACAATGACTGCCTTGCGATTACAGACCTTTATTAGCTATCTAGTTTAAAAGAGAACTCCAGAAAATGCAGCTAGTAAGTAACACAGCTAGAGGTAAGTGTAAAGTGTTATTTATACTTACCTCCATGCTGTCCTTTCCTAGATGAAAATTGCAGTAACATTTTCTCAATGCATTTTCCCATTATACTTCCTGCCCATTTTCCCTGCTATTTTATAAATAGAATTAAAATAGAAGTCTGAGGGGGAAGGGGGGGGGGCACCATTTGAAACAAATTATTCCATTTATAATACTGCTGGACAGTAGACATGTGCACCAGCAAAAAATGTGTTTATTTTCATTTTGTTTTGATTCGGATTTTGCTTTATTAAATTTTTCAGAATTCGGGTCTGAAAGTCAATTTGTTTCGGAATTCGTACGAAATTCGTTAGCGGAAATCCGTACGAACTTTCGTTTCTAATTCGTTTTGTTTGTTTAAGAGGGAAAAAAAGTTTTTTTGTTCTCAAATGTCACTTTGCTGCAACGAAAGCTCGTCCAAAAAACGAAAGTTCGTCCAAAAAAATGATTTGGAAATTCGGAATCGGAAATTCGGATTCGTTTGCATTCGTTATATCTGTAATTCGGAATTCGGATACATCCAAACCACCGAATTTTTGAAATTTCGTCCGAATTTCGATTCGGAACGAATCGCACATGTCTACTGGACAGGAAAGAGAAAGTGTGCAGATGGGAAGGGTGGAGCGAATGGTTCCACTATGCTCCCACCAGTTTCCAGAGAGCTGTATTTAAAGATCAGCATGGAGGTAAGTGTAATTACCACATTAGTACAGAGTAAGACAGCACTGCGTAACATGGATCAACATTGTAAAGGACAAAGTAGCACTCTGTAAAGTCCAGTAGCATGGTATACGATAATATGGCAATGTGTAATGTGGCATCTAAGCATCATGATATACAACAACATGTATACGACAACATTCATTCTGTAACATGTTAACTCACAAACATGATATATGACAACATGCACTTTGTAACATGGCATCTCAGTAGCTTGGTATACGGCAACGTGCACTGTGCAAGCTTATTAACAATGAATAAGCCAAAAAAGCACTGTTTAATATTACTAGTATGTAATACAGCCTTATCAGGTGACCTGAATAATTCTAGCATCGCCTACTTTTCCACTGTAGTAGTCTCCTGAATGTGTATAAAAATCTGCCAAGCATCCCCCAGAACCTCCCTATAAAGTTAATCTTCTGAAGTACCTTCCTTAGCCTCTGCATATGCTCAAGGCGCCAACCATGAAATCTTCCCTACCCCTAGTTTTTACGCTCTTAAAGTGCAGCATAGCTGAATAGTGGGATATACGCACCTTCTGCAGGTCAGCATCTGTAAGGCTTCATTAAAGTTGGCTTGTAGTCAAATGTAGTGTGCTTGCCTTCCTTGTTGTAGAGTAAGCTGCACAGCAAACTTGCAGGCCAGATGTTGTCTTCTGCTTTTCCAAAATATCCCTACTTCTTTGTTTGCAGTCCACAGAATCTCTTCTTTTCAGTTAAAAACTTAATTCATAAGGCTATTATTATGTTTCCATGGTTTACACCTTCCAAAGTAAAAATTCACTGATGGAACTTGATGCCAATGTTAAGGTAGATAAAAATAACCCGCAACTAACAACACAGAAGAGCGAAGTTCTTCCATGAGAAGGGCAACAGCATCCCATGAAGGGATTGTCTGAAGGTCGATGGGGGTAAATCAGGATAGTCACCTGGGTAGCCATCCATACTTTCATCCTTTGTAGTTGAAGCTCTGAGTTGCATACACTCACTGCTCATAATTTGTTAAGCAATATCTTCTTTCTATTCTCCTTTTGTCCATAGTCCAAGCACCTTGTTGAGGTTTTTACTTTACAAACTGGGCCCTGGGTTTCTCTATATTGGGCCATGCTGCACTTTCTGTGTTCTCCCTGTTACAACATGAATTCCATAGATTTAAGTTGTGTTGTCAAACTTTCAAAGCTGGAATGGGTCTTGCCTGCAGCATTGTGGTAGAGAGGGACGTAGGGTGCTCTTCCCTACTATTTTTTTGGCAAGGCTTCCAGTAACCCCTATTGTGAGCAGAGGTTATTGTAAGGCAGCCTTTCTACCCACAGAAATCTAATACTGAAGCCATGATTCAGATTCACTCTACACTCTACTGTTCTGTCTCCTAGAGACTCAATGGTATTGCATTATTAATAAGGTGCATTGAAAACCTGACATATACACTGCAGCTCTTTATGTTCTACTTTATTTTGAATGATAAAATTCTATGGTCCCCAATGCTTCATATTAAATACATTAAGACACATTTTTCCACTCATTCTATATACCTTCAAATTTTATTGAATACAAGTTGACATGGTTTAACATGGATTCATCCTTATATTTGTATACAAACAGAAGTTATGTCCTGACGGATTCAGTGTACATAATAAGACCTGTTTCACCAAGGAATTTCACTGCCATTCCAAGAAAAAAACTTTCCAGTCTGGTCAATGCTTAGTCCATCAATGATGTTCATGAGACTGGTCACAGAGAGCTCAGGAGAAAACAGCTTTTCTTTGGGTACATTCTTATGGTAAGGTCTTGACAAGTCTGTGTCCACTGTGCCTGGGTGCAGGGAAACACAAATCACTTTCTTACTGCCTCTCTTCAATTCAATAGACAGATTTTTGGTGGCCATATTCAGAGCAGCTTTAGACATCCGGTAGCTGTACCATCCACCTAAGCCTAAAAGAAAAAAACTGCAGATCAAATGAGGGTAAAATTGGAACTTTGTCAACTAATATTTTAATCGAAACTAGCCACAGGAGATAGCCTCAAACTATTTTACAATTGAAAAATAACTACTATTGTAAAAAAAATGGTTGGGCAAGACATATAAACAGTATGTTGCTGGTAGGTATTGGAGGGATCATGGTGCCTACCCTTTCCTGATTTATGTGCCATGGTAGTGAAGACCACTAACCATAGCACTGCATTAAAATAGTGAAGGTCCTTACCAATGGTATGAAACATCTTCACACAATTGCTACACACAATTTACCAGCTAATGAATAGGACATTGAAATCTGATATATAGTATATTATAATTCATATGCCAGACTTCTGCTTAAATAGCATACCACATTTAACATCAATATGTAATAGGTATATTAAAAAGTGATAGTAAAAAAGGGGTCCCTAATAATTACTCAGATTATGGTCCTTATAATCAAAATAAATACAAATGTTTCCAACGTTGTGCTCATATCATACAAATAAAAGTTGAAGCAGCTATGATATCTTCAAATATATTGCTGTAGGATAGAGATGTCTTTTACCGAAGTATCAAAATCCAGAATACCAAGAGTATGTAGCAGGTCACATACAGTATATACAGTAGTTATTAAAGGAGAACTATGGGGTAAGTGTTTTTCCCCATAGTTCTCCTAAGGATCACGCGAGGACACAAACTAGCATCCTCCCGTGACCCAAAGCTCAGTATATCGCGAGCTACAGCTCGCAGTATACTGAGACCGCCGCAGCCTGGACGGATCCCGACATTACTGTCGAGATCCACCCAGCTGCGTGATTGACACCTGACTCTGCCTTTCTAGAGCCCCCTCCCCGTCCGTTCCGCCAGTCAACGCTGGAGGATCGGAGTGGGGAGGGGGGAAATCCCCTGCAGGAAGCCGTGACTGACAGTCACAGCTCTCTGCAGGGACATGATCGAGAAGTGAGCGAGCGACGGTATGTGTTCGCTCACTTCCCGATCTACAGAGCCGACGTGTGAAAGTTTCATTGTCACACGTCGGCTCAAACTATGAGGTTGAGTGAAAATCACTCACCTTATAGTTCTCCTTTAAGGATGAAAATCAAGTTTAACCACACCCTCCCATCACCACTTCTCTTTCCATAATCCATATAGTGGCAAGTCAGTGGAGTGTAAGTAATACTCAAAAGACCAGGTATCAAAGGGTCTTTAATTATGAAAAGCAAACCATCTTGGATGCAGAGAAAAGTGAAGTCTCACTGATGCAGCCTACCCAGGATTGGGCAGCCTGAATATTCTGCAGTTGCTATGATATTTCTGTGAAATACCTTCAAACTGTGCTGTACTTATAAAATACAGACTTGTATTAGTAGTACTTACCATTGTCAGCTATGGAGCCCACTTTAGCGCTCATGTTTATTAAAATGGCGCTGTGCTGCTTGGACCTGTCAGTTGACTGAGCTCCAAATGTCCCAGTACCATTCAGAAGAAGAGGCGCAAAATGTTTAGCCATCAACAGGGGGCCTATGGTGTTTGTAGAAAGTGCCAACGATAGGCCCTGTGGAGCAGAAAACAAAGTATCTTCAATAATGTAGGTAATGGGATGACAGGAGAGACGCACCATAAACAGACACCAAGTGGAAGATTGTAGCAGGCTTCAGGCTTCACAGCTCTCAGCTTTACCCAACCAACACAGGGACGGATTTCCGGGTTAGGAGTGAAGCCCTCCTAGCACTTTAGGCTGCCCTTATACCCTTAAATCTAAATCCTTCTATCCCTGCAATTGTGACCGGGCCCTGGCGTTCCGCCTGTTGGGGAAGACCTGAGGACGGAGCCCGGAGGACGGAGTCAGCATGGAGATAGGTAGGTGCGGGGGGAGAACGGGCAGGCTGCAAACCTATTACAAGTGATCTCGGCGGCATCGCCGAGATCACTTGTAAACGTACAATCAGCTTCCCCGCTGTACATTTAGTCCTGCTTGTGCAAAGCAGGACTAAATGTAGAAAGCGCAACTTACTGCCCGTCGCCCGGTACTGCATGTTCCGGCCGTCGGGGGATTTCACACTGCTGCCGCCCCTCTGCACCCTGCCTCGGTGGCCTTGTGGGGAATCCGGGCCTGACTGTACGAGAGTTGAATGTTACCTAGGCCAATCTCTGTAACTTTGTTGAAGTTTGTCTAATAAAGTTTAATAAAACTCTATTGAAAATGAAAACAGAAAATATACATACTAAGTGGAAAGCTCTATGGATGTAGAGATTTTCACTGATGTCCTAGCTAGATGGAATACCTTGGGGATGCCATCTAAACAGTAGATTGCTCCTGGAAATCCTTTTAGTTTAGGTAGCCGCACAAATATTCTAACATGTACATTAGTGAGCACCAGCTGCAGCTAAATGTGTCCATACTTTATACTGGTTCCAAAGAGGTCCCCACCACACTCCTTACTGGTATGTCTCTTTAAGGTGGGTGCTGCAGTGATAGTGGAAGGCGCCACTTGAAATCCAAGTAGTAAAATATATCACCAGCACACCAAAGTAAAATCTTCAACTAGTGGTCATTTTATTGATGTACACACATCTCATCATAAAGCAACATTTCGGGGGCCACTGGGACCCTGAAACGTTGCTTTATGACGAGATGTGTGTACATCAATAAAATGAAGATTTTACTTTGGTGTGCTGGTGATAAATTTTACTACCTACTTTATAATGTATACCATACATAATGTATTATATGATGTGTAATATAATGTATTATATAGGACAATCCTGAATAATAATAATAATAATAAATCAGAACTCCTAGGATTCTCACCTCTGCGGAGACTTCTCTGAGGCTTTTCTCTCCTCTACCACTAGGGTGCAGCATTGCCGAGGAATTGATTAGTAGATCCAGGCTGCCGAAAGACAGCGCCACCTGCTGTTCACATTGCTGTATAGCAAGCTGGCTGCTTACATCCAGTTTCATAATGGTGAGTAGATGTGGGTGCTGCTGCTTCAATACTTGTAAAGCAGCAGCAGACTGCGGCTCTCTGCATGTGGCGATTACTTGTTTGCACTTGCTGGACTGGACTAGGAACTTGCAGAATTGTAGGCCAAGACCCCGGCTTGCTCCCTGAACCAGAGCGATTCCTCCGGACATACTGTCATGCCGTCAGAGCTGGTGATTATGAAACAGAGTGCAATGCTGCCACCTAGTGGACTTTATCTACAAGTGCAGCCGAGCAATCAATTGAGGACGGACATCAACTAGCAAGGAACCAACCAAATGATAAAATAAAATACATAAATAAATAATCATTATTTATTTAGCATTTGCTAATTCAGAACATTAGTGCCTAAATATGTCAGCAATATTGATTGCTTCTGCTTCACCGACAATCCAATTGGTCATTTTGCTGCAAAATCAATATAGCTAAAATCTCTCTGCTCATCTATAGTGCTGTGGAGTGAAGTATCCTGCCTGCTTTATATTGCCAGCAAGTATTTAAAGAGGAAATCCAGGCAGAAATGTTATTAATGCTTGCAGTGGGGTTACCCATGCACCGCAAGGGTTAACTGCTTGTTTTTCTTAGGTCAAAAAAAGTTATACTCACCTGACCCTTTGAGTCTGACGGTTCTTAGACTGGTCCCTAGAGCATCTCTCTGCATTGCGGGGGAAGCCCCACTGCAAAGGTTAATACAATGTTACATAGTTACATAGTTAGTCAGGTTGAAAAAAGACACAGGTCCATCTTTAAAAAAGCAAATCAGTCAAGCAAAACAAATGGCAAACACACTCATCAATTTGCTACCACACTATTTAGAGGTGCCTTGACGCGGCTGTGCGGCTTTCACATTTTCTGCAGAAGGCGTGTAACTAAACCTCTGTTTTTAACCTTAGCGGTGAGTTACGGTTTTTTTGCATGCTGGCTGGTGAGTGTGCTGGGAAAATCTTTTGCTGTTCTTCTTTGAAAGGAGACTCCATATTTAAGGTGAACTATGAAATGGTCACATTGGGCAGTGAAAAGGAAGTGAAATGTTCTTTAGTTTTGAAGAGTAGGGATTACAGCTAATTTTGGCCTCATAGACTCAATAGGAAACGCTAGAAAACGCACGTTTGCTGTGTTTCTGTGCATTTTAATGCACGATTTATGTGCTTTTTCTCATTAACATCAATGAGCTACAATCTGTTTCCTAAAGCGCATTTTTTTCAGTATGCGCTTAAAAAACTCTGAAAACGCTCAAAAAGTGCATCAAAAACGCGCAACAACGCTGTTTCCTAGGTTGAACAAGGCTTTAGAAATGTTTAGTAATGACAATCTACAAACATATCATTCTAGATCATTGCCGGCTTTTTATTCTTTGCATTCCTTGTTTTTCTTTTCCTCCCCATTCTTCTCACAGTGGCCATTTTTGCTAAGGGCAGATTACTCTATATCCCTTTACTTGCTGAAATTCTGGCACATGTGACTAGGACATGTGACCATGCACATTATCTCAGGGGAGGAAATGCCTTTCCCTGAGATCTCATGAGATTACAGATGAGATTTCCCAGCAATGCTCTGCTGATGTAACCTTCCCAGGATTCATCACTTGGGCACATTACATCAGTTTTGCCAAAGAGAACCAGGAAGTAGAAAACAAGAAATTGTAAGTGAAAGGAGAATATGTTTGTTTAACTAATGAATGTAAGACGGTTTCATATCAGCATGCAGAGTTGTATGCTGATAGGATTTTTAGCCAAAGGGGGTAAAGGTCTGCTTTAAGTAGATTTCTATAAATACATAATGGTGACTATTTTACATATTGTACTGATATATGTATAACTATAAAAATGTTTGTTGGAGTGTCACTCTGTTGTGTTACACACCCCTATGCACACTTTTAGGTCAACAGGTCAACATTGACTTTACAATCTTACCATACAGTATATGCACAATTTTTTTTTTCATCCCTTTAAAAGTAATTTGTTGTTTTTAATTTAAAATGTTTCCTTTACTTGTTCTCTAGTGGGTTCCTGCAGTGTTCTCCGCCTCCTGTTCTCAGCTAACCAGCTGCTGTGGAGGCACCTGTGCGTGCTTGCTTCCGGAGTGGCCTGCAAGTGGTTGTGTGCGTCCATAGACACACACAGCCCTGCGGCAGGCCACGCCCACCCCACGAGTTGATTGACGGCAGAAGGAGCCTATGGCTCCTCTGCCCTCAATCTCCTCCCCTGCAACCAAAAAGTTTGGAAGGAAGATCGCTTCGGGGGCGGTGTTCTGTCGAGAATGCCGACCCAGTCGAATTTGCCGACCTGACCATCTGCTCTTGCACACACCGGGATGAACGAGAAAACAGCCATTTATTTACAAAGTATTTATTTCTAATTGTTAATTGTGACCGTTCAAAATATGCCATCCATGGCTGTAAATGATGGATGGCATTTTATGCACATTCACAATTGATATCGTAAGCAATGACATAATAATGTAATTGCTTACGATGTTAATTGTGAAATTGATTAGACAAGTTTTTTTTCCATGCTGGCTGGTGAGTGTGCTGGGAAACCTTTTGCTGTTGTACTGTATTAGGCCCTTCCATGTGCAACTTGCTGTAAAGCTGGTTATGAGTTGATGAGTGTGTTTGCCATTTGTTTTGCTTGACTGATTTGGTGCAGTGACACACTGGGGGTCTCAGCTGCCGTTGTGATGTGCAGGGTCCCTTGTGTGTCCCTGTGCCTTTAAGGGGGTTGGGCTGCCTCCTGGCAAACCTGCACCCAATTTGATCTTTTGCTAGATGTGCTCCAAGATGGAGACTCCCATAGGTTAGCGTTAGGACCACACTACACAGAGGTGCCTTGATGAGGCGGTGCGGCTTTCACATATTCTGCAGAAGACGTGTATCTAAAACCTCCTTTTTTAACATTACCAATGAGACAAGTTTTTTTTTTGCATGCTGGCTGGTGAGTGTGCTGGGAAACTTTTTGCTGTTGAACAATGAATATTGCATACATGTGTGGGGACATTGCACATAGATGAAGCATCATTTTATATACTAGTGTTAATTTGTACAATTACACTCCAAAGAAAAAAACACTCAAAGAAAACAGATGTAGGGATTTTTTTTATTATCCAATAAACATATACCAAGATACACAGTATTGTCCAATAAACATATACCAAGATACACAGTATTGTCCAATAAACATATACCAAGATACACAATATTTTCCAATAAACATATACCAAGATACACATTATTTTCCAATAAACATATACCAAGATACACAGTATTGTCCAATAAACATATACCAAGATACACATCCAATAAACATATACCAAGATACACATTATTTTCCAATAAACATATACCAAGATACACAATATTTTCTAATAAACATATGCCAAGATACACAATATTTTCCAATAAACATATACCAAGATACACAGTAACAAAAAAACAAAAAAAAAAGTGCTTATGAGAATTAATGGTGATTTTACAGTGTACAGCTCATCCATATGTGCTCAGTGCCAGAAATATACATATACTCCTGAAAGTAAATAGTAACATGTATGTTGTTACATTTTGTGAAGTGCATGAAGCACTAAACAAAATGTACAACACACATGTGTGTGATAAGCAATCAGAGGATACAAACGACACTTCACAAACATTAAAGACAACATTTAGAGAATTTGTTCATGTCAGTATTTCCTTAAATAATAAAGATAAATAAAAATATTATGTGTAGTGCTATGCTAAGAAAGTCAAATAGGTCCGGGGGCGCTAGTGAGCAGCCAGCCAAGATGGCCGCAATCTAATCTGGCTCCTCCACACCCGGACGTGTGACTAATATTAAATCGCTTTTCTAGCTATCACTTGACCCCGACTGAACAGGAGATTACTCCCGGACATGCGGAGATCGGCGAAAGGAAAGTCCGGTAACTACAAAAGAACACAGCCGCGGTTCCCGGAGACCAAAACCCCGCCGCGCTCTGCAGGCAAGATGGCGCCGTCCTCGCCCGAGCCAGAACAACAGCCAGCATCACAGGAACTTGTGACAGAAGTGGATGGCTGCTCAAACGCCAGCTCGGCCTCCCCACTGCCCAGCGCGCAACCATATCCCTGATATTGCCTAGCCTGGAAAATGGCCGGTGGTAGAGTAGAAGAGACATGCACTGGCACGTAGCTCTTTGTGTCCTAGCAATCTGTATACCATACCTCTTCCCAAGATCCGAGATGCACAGTTGTCCCCTGCCCAACCAGTCCCACTCACTATCTGTTCTAGCCCGTGCCCACAGAGACTGCTGGCTGCAATCAGGTCTCCGAATTTATATCCCCTATACAGAGACATCTGTATTGTACACCAATTGTGTGGGCTCTTCGCTGCCTTACATCAACATCAGTGAGGGGGGGGGGTGACGATGTCTGGTCAGGGTCACCACACGGAGTTACTACTGGCCCACTGGCCGAGTTGTCACACTAACAAAACCCCGGGCCCAGACGGCTATTCAGCCTTATATTACAAAAAATTTGCTGACCTTCTCGCCCCACACTTAACCTCATTTTTCAACTCCCTTAAATCCAACCCTAGCCTCCCTGACTCCTCGCTCTTGGCACAGATCGTGATGCTGCCCAAGTTCACCTAAACTCTTCATTTTCAGCTCTGTGCTTCAGAGGGTGAGCGGCCAAGGGAGATGTTCTCCACACATGGTGGACTTGCCCTATGTTAACTAGACTCTGGTCCAAGACCTTTCTTCTCCTACGTTCCCTTTTCAATATAACTATAACAAAGGACCCAGGGTTCGCACTTCTACACTTCAAGCCACCGACACTCACAAAATTGCAATATAAACTGGCTGTTTATATCCTTTTAGCAGTGAAGCAAGCAATAGCCCAAGCCTGGCGAAAGCAATTTGTTTCTTTCGCGGATGTGCGCCGTAGGATAGATTCGTTTTTCATAAACGAGAAACTCTCTAGTATCCTTTTGGATACCCAAAAGAATTTCCAAAAAATCTGGGCCCCTTGGATAGCTTATGCACACCTTGCGCTTCCGTCTGAGAGTCTCACATACTTCTAAGGTTATCAGAGTCCCTGGTGCACTTCCCCTTCCTACCCCCTCCCCCCTTCCTTGTGTGTCCCTCCTGTCCCCTGTCCCCCCCCATTCTTAATAACTTCTGCTATATCACAGTTTAGCGATGCTTTCGGCTCTGGAGCACGGGGACGGTAGCCCGGACGGGTCCCCTTGTGGTCCAGGGTTCGACTTTGGAGTAACAAGCTCCTGGAGATGATTTATTCACCTGCCATGAATAACTAACTAGCTTCCCTGCGAGGAGGCGTTTTACGTATCAAAGAACGAGCTCACTGCACAATGTCTAGACTCTGCTTCTTGACTGTATATAATTTGTGTCAGCTTTACTTGAACTGTTGTTATCTCAGCCACGCTATGTAAAACCAATAAAATACTTTGGAATTGAAAGTCAAATAGGTCCACAGAAAAACTGTGTTATTTTATACACAAAGCAGGTGAAAAGTGACAAGCAAAATGGCGACATTTGCTGTGGTCAGGAAAGTGTGAAATAGTCACCGTCACAAAGCTGGCCAACTTTTAGGTCATCACACTTCATAATGATCTGATTGTAAAGTGTATCTATAGCCAAAACTTCCTCTTTTTTCTTTAGGTTAAAGAATGAATTGGTTTAAACTCCTGTGCAGTTTTTTTTTTGTCTGTTGGGAAGACTTACATTAATTTCCTGTCACAGAGACACAACAGGAAGTGAGAGGAAATCTATCCAAAGGGAGGAGGAGACTCCCACATAAGCTGACCATACACTACTCAAAATGCATCCAATTCCTGTTCAACGTCCACACTTGAAGCTGTGGGTGGCCCTGTGGGCACCACCATGCTTGAAAAGAGTTGCACTTTTAATCAAGCTTTATTGAAGGAGCCGGGTGGAATATTGTTGGCCGAACAGTGACTGCATCCAATCAGGTTGCTGTACTGGTATTCAACAGCTGTGGACTGTCCGAATACGGTAGCTGGCAGGGGAGATTCCTTCATAAAAGCTGTTTAGTGTGGATGGGGTAATTGATTGATATCTCTCGTTCAGCCCTGCAGGGAATCTAAAGGTCTGCATATAGGATTAGGTGCCTGTTGTGCACTTCTCTTTTTTCATAGATTCCAGAGCACCCTGGAAACCTAAACTGGAACAAGTATGCAAACCAAGAGTTCTGATTTCCCCCTTCCTAATCTGCATGCCTGTTCCAGGTCAGTGACTCAGGAAGTAATGAAGCCAGAGGCAACCAGGCACCAAGTATTTTTATAAGGAATTTGGCAATAATAGCCCCTATATTTTTCTCAGTGGAGGTTTCCCTTCATAAAATGCATTAGTCTGCCTCATTCCTATAACACGGACTTTGTTGCCTTTTTGCCTGATTGCAATGCATAATATATATTGGAATACAATGGTCATCCAAGCTAAATAAAATATGTGCTTCTTATCTGTCCATGTAGTAGCCTTACCATGTAATTTAAAGTAGCAACTCCATTCTGCTGTGGTTTACATTAGCTGTGCAGCCCTTTCAAATCAGCATTGACTGTGGTGTAATTTCCAGAGGTGAGAACTTGCTGGAATTGACCCAGCAATACCGGAATTTGTTAACTGGTTGCCGAGTCAATACCAGTACATTTACAGCTCTGGAATTTCATTCATTGAAGAGATTATGCACACTGCGCTTTGATTTTGCCAGCAAGAGGAGAAGAAGAACTGGGAGCAAGGAGGAGCAGTGTGTGGGAGGAGGGAGAGCAGTAGGTGCTGAGGGTGCACCTGGCTGCCACCTGTAGGCGATCTAAGTGTCAATCGACATGGTGTGTGCACCTGGCTTCCACCATTCCATTGACACTGACAATGCACCTATAGGCACTGTTAATGTCATTGGAATGGTGCATAAGTGGGAGACAGGTGCATTGCAATATTGTAGTCTCCAATTTATTGTTTAAACCCCTCCTACTTTAAAAAGCACATATTGGATGCACCTACCATACCCCCACAGAACCATCTACACATCCCAATCTGTCCCTGTCTCAAGAAATACAATTTCTAAAAGTTCCCGGGCATGATGGTTTCATGATGCAGTTTGTTACTCTTCACTGTCTGAATCAAGTTCCAAGGTTGTACAATTCATGTCAGATTCTGGTACATTACCATCTTGTTCATGAATGAAGTCTAGCAAATCAATTCCAGTGTCATCAAATTCAATCCTGGTGAGAATGTCTTCAGCAAGAGCCTTGCAATCTTGTATAGCATATTTTCTGTATACTGTGGGACATTGTATTTGTACGGCTTCTTTGTAATGCTTTATTGCCTCACTTTGACAATTTCTTTTATATAGTTCATACTGTGCCCACATCAGGTGAAGTTTCTGTTTTTCCTCCTCCGTGAGGTTGTCCATGTTCAGAACTTGGTGGTATATTTCGTCTGCTTTCTGGTATTGCTCAGCTCTCCCATACATGAAGGCTAGGGCTAAATAAGCAGATACAAATGTCTTTCTGTACTTAGTAGCCGTTTCCAAATGAAGGATGGCACTGGAGACTGCTTTAGAAATGTTCTCTGTATAGCCCCTGGTGGACTGAAACTTTAACTTTGCTTTACGAGCAGACTTCTTTAAGGTGGTAATTCTTTTTTTGTAGCATAGGGACAGTTGGTAATGAAGATGGCATGATGTAGGATTTAACCTTGTTGCTTCACTAAGGACCAAAATGGCTTCGTCGATCATTTCTGCTCTCCTGTAAAATTTTCCAACATAACGAAGCAAAAATGGAAATTCCGGTGTTCCTCTCAGAGCTTCTTCTATATGTATTAGGCCTGCTTTGGAATTTTTCTGATCTTGGTATTTCAAGCCCAGAAGGACCTTCACCATTGTATCTTTTGGGTTTAATTCTGCAGCTCGTTTCAGAAGTGGAAATGACTCATGTAATGGTTTCGTCAGGCAGTTGGGACCTTCAAGTTTATACACAGCAATAGCATAGCTAGAATTCAGCTCTGGGTTCTCTCGATCCAGGTCCAGAGCTTTCTCAAAGCAGTCTTTTGCTCTTTCACTGTGTCTTCCATGAAAGGATAATAGAGAAAAACCCTTCTCGCTGTACATCTCAAATAGAAGAACATTCTGTAGTGGCGGAGACTCAAATTTGTTGCTGATTTCTTTAACCTTTTTAAGATATTTATAAACTTTTGTAGTGTGGTTTCTGTGGTAGAATATCCAGGCATAGTTGGCATAGATTATAATCCTTTTTGCTTCATTGTCCTCGGTCTCAGTGTCTTGGAGTTGTTCCTCAGCTTTGAGTAGATAATCAGTAGCTTCCTCATGGTCCTCACTCAGATAACTGGCATAGGCCAGGATATTGTATAACCTGCATTTCGAGGAAGCACTTAAAAATTCAACTTGGGTTTTAAGCCTGCCTTTTATGTTATCCAAGTGCACTTCCTCATCAAGCAAGTTCCATGTAAAATGACACTGTAGCTTTTCTATACGGCTCTTCAGAGAGTTCATTACATCACTAAGGAAACAAAAATATAAATGTTTAATAGTTGGGGTTAGAAATGTAATAAAAAGTTATAGCTATGGAGAACATCTAGGGAGCTTTGTAGTATGGAACAGTATGCTGGAGATTCAGCCTCTAATCCTAATGCCAGGGTTTACATTTGTATATTCCCAAAATAGGCTTCAGTGATTCAAAATTAAACAAACCCAATTTTTTCTGAATATAACCCAAATCTTTAAGAAAAGGGGAAAGAATGTCAAATGCATCATGTTGTTCTTCAGAGTGTATTTAAAGCCAAATATTTTGTTTTTCGTTTTGGATAGAGAAGAGCTAAAGCTGAACTGTGAGCAGAAAAAACATATTTTAATTATATTCATCAGTAGCCACAAAGGATATAAATCCACTTTGTCTGCACCAAATGCCTTTGCAAACCCACTAGTTGTGACATTATCACTGTGCTGCACATAGCCTGTGCTGAGAGCAGAGCTATGGGAGGTACCCAACAGCCCCCACCCACTACATGCTGTCTGCAGAAAACTACAGGAAGGAGCGGAGGCAAGACCAGTCACCCTGCACATGGAGAGAAATAAGCAATGACTGGCCTTAATACAGGAAGCTCATGTGCCAAAACCAAGTTTCACATAGGATTGCTGCACAGATATGGAATAAATGGTTAGAACACGCATGCCTCTTGCATTTAAAAAATATTTGCTTATCCCGGAGTTTCAGGACTGCAATCAGCCTGTGTGCCACTGGATTGTGGCGTAGTTGACGCGTTTCTGGGGTCACGCCCCCTTCTTCAGAACCTACAGTCCTGAAATTGCTATATCTTTGAAATCATCTATATACGCTGTTGTTTGACCTACCATTGTGAGTACCTTTGCACTCTTATTTTTGTGTCTTTTAAAATAAAAAATCATCTGCACTAGGTTGGGCGCCCTTCTGTCTCTTTTGTCTTCCAGTTTTACAGTTCCCCCCGGCTGAAGTGGGGCAGCACCTCTAGTAATCCTGTACACATAACACTCAACATCAGGATTTGTTCATAGCGCTTTGGCTTTATTATTAGAATCACTTCCTGTCTTGATAACAATGGCCACCAGGACAAAAAGTGAGGGTAAATCTCTCCAACGTGGACACAGACAGCAATGAAAATCTGACAAGGATTCAAATTTCTTCCGATTATCTTCAATACTCCAGAAAAACATTTTGGTTATATATACATTTAAAATACTGCAAGAATGTGATGACACATTTATATTACCCCAAACAGCAGATACTCTCGTGAAATGTAACTTTGGCAAGAGTTTGGTCCAACCAGTCAGACACATGGACAGATCTAAAAATATATTTTACATCATTTTTGGGGGGAAGTTTTGCAGCCCTTGTTCTCTCCACTCTGTGCCTGTGCTGCCCGCCATTTCACATGAGGAGTGGAGCTGGAAAACACAGCATTAGTGTCATCCATGCCTTGTGTGCCTCCTTATACGTACAAGTTAATTTAGGTTATAAGTAGAAAAAAGAATAGTTGTTTTACTCGTAGCAGCCTTGATTTACAAAAACATCATCTGCAATATAATTGGCTGCTACTGGCAACACTTTGCCTTCACTGAGTTTGTTTGTACAAAGTGTCATACCTGCCAGGCTGGGTGTGTGAATGGACTTTTTAATAATAAAAATTACTTCAGCAAACAAAGGTGTGATTGAAGCTGTTTTTGTTATCTTTAATTGAGTGTCCTGAAAGCTAAATATACATAGGTTTATGTTTGTACTTAACTCCTTGCCGCCGACTCTCAGTGCCCCTTTATAGGATCTTAACCACTTGATGACCAAGGTGTTAAACCCCCTTCTTCCCTTCCAGGCCATTTTTCAGTATTCAGCTCTGCAGTACTTTGACTGACATTTATTCAGTCACAGAACACTGTACTGAAATTAATTTTATACCATTTGTTTTGGGATAGATAGAGTGTTCTTTTTGTGGCATTTAGTCACCACCGGGGTTTTTATTTTTTACTATATTATGAAAAAAGTTCCGAAAATTTGCAAAAAAAAAAACCTGTTTCAGCTTCGTTATGTTATAAAACATTTATTAGTACCCACATTTTTGGTAAGATATAAAAGATGGGGTCACATTAGGTATATAGACCCTAAACAGGTCAAGCTTTAAAATTGCGTGCGCCCATGAAATCTGAAAAAACGACCATACCTAAAATTGGCCATAGGTGATGCTTTAAAAGCTTCTACCGCTCATCAGTTTAGTGTTATCAGTGATTGATGGCCCTAGAATTATTGATCTCACACCGACATTCACGGTGATATGTAGTTTTATATCCATGAGATAAAAATAGAAGTTTTTTCCGTGCCTTTAAATAACTCACATTCCTGGGTTGGCATCCATACCATAGCCCAGTGACTTGCCCGGCTGGAGCCCGCATTTGAAGTCATGGCAAAAATATGAAATAAATTTTGTAGCATTTATTAACATAAGAGTTCTGTTTTACTAGAGATAGTCTGGAAAGAACTGGTCTGGTGATCTGTAACTACAACGGGCAGGGCTTGGCAGCTCACTCGGAGAAGAACCCAGAAGAAAAGGAGAAATAAGTAAACCAGAGTGGGAAAAAAAAACAGAAACCAGAGTGATTTTATAAGTGCTGGAAAAGACTATGGTTTTTATTCTTGGCATTAAAACAATCTGATTACAGAGGGGCAAAGCTAAGAGACAGTATTTTAAAAGTGTTTAACATAAAGTGCAGGTCACCCATAGTTACATAGTCTGCAACATCGAGCCACTGTGAACTGTGAGCCACTGTGAACGGGCACAGCTGTGGCACTTACTGGAAATGATGGAGCTTGCATGACCCCTTTGGCATCCCACACATTTTGGTTGGCCAGTGGGGCATCTCATCATAGTGGTGGACCATAAAGGAATGTGAGCTTTGCCCTTTTAGAGTGGAATTCAGATATAGCAGACACAAGGAGAGCTGTTCCAGGTATGCACAGGTACCTCTAATGTGTCAGTTAATAATACCTGCTAGCAGCTTTCTTTTTAAGATGGTAGAATCACTTTACATTTTCTTAAAGCTGAACTTTAGGTATGATTATGTATGTATACTTACATAGGTTCAGCTTGGCCCAATGTAAGTATTCATATTTTTTACCTGATTGGTTCACAAGGATCCTGTAAAGCACTGTTGTAGCCAGGGTGCTGACAGCAATCTTTTAGATCGGATATGGTGGTGTGCTGAGCGGTTCCCCCTCTGCTCTGAAAAAACAGCGGTTTGCTCACACACACAGTAGCCATTCGGTGACCGGCTGGTATTTTAATCAATGAATACAAGGTATTGTTTGGTCAAGGCTAATAGAGTATTTAACAGAATCCCCATGGCCCTACCAGGTTCAAGTGTTTGCCTGATGAAGGGGATCCTGTGAGACCCCGAAACGTTGTTTAGAGTGTTCTACTTGCAACTAGTACATTAATAAACACATACTGAACTTGCTTTGGAGTGCCAGTGTCCATCCTTTACTTATAATTTGTCGGAAGCCACCCGCTGCACCCACCTTCCATTTTTGCGATGGGTACACAGACTGTATCCATTACATCTCTAGGACACGTGACTTCATCAGGGGTAAGAAGTTGGGAGAACCAAATACCTTATAACTAGTTTCATCTCCTAGGCGAAAATAAACAAGTTATTGTAGAGCTCCGCCCCTCACCTTAATATATTTCACCGGTACTATCACAAGATTTATGCATATAAAAGAGAGTGGTAAATGATGTTGGCTGGAGCTGTGCCATTCTTTATATAGATGTAAATATCCTATTTCATGGCTACCATCACAATTTATGTATAAATATAAAGATACATTTAAAAAAGAGCAGTAAATGATGTAAATATCCTATTTCTCCTCTACCATTACAAAACTTCTATATATAAAAAAAATCTAAATTTGTATGTTAAAAAGAAAAAAGAGCGGTAAGTATGTCGGCTGCAGCTGTACCCTCTTTTATGTAAATATTTCATAGTTTACCATGACCAGCATACAAGTCTTATTAACACCTAGTTACCATCTAAGGCATATATACAACCTAAGGCATATAGAAACCTGTAAAAACATATAAAAACATGGATCGCGTTCTACGAAGAAACCATATTTATCATGACAACCCACAACCTCTCATATCATGAATAGCTGATATAACAATTTAAATCGAAGCCTACATTGAATTATTTTAGTACCTGAGTTTTAGATCTGTAAATCCTTTCCGTTTCTTTCCCAACAAACCCTGTATAGTATATAAAAAAGCAGATCATTTAAAACAGAAAATATCCAAAAGTGTAGTAGATCCACCCAATAAAAAATGTAATACATTGTTCCCTGATTTAACTGCGATTTTTTTTTAATTCATACTGTACTAAGAATATAAAACGTAGGAAAAATTCATATTGTCGGTAACACAGGCAGAGTGTGCCATTAAGGAATTCATCTCCTGTGAGACAGAGGGAGTGGTGTACACTTTGGAATGTCGTATAATTAGAAAATTAGCCATCCGTATCAGGGAACATATTTACAACATCAAATGTGGGTACAAAGACCACTTAGTGTCTTCACATTTTGCTAAATTTCATTTAAAAATTCCAAAATTTCTACAATTTTAAGGGGTACTGGGGTACTGGAGGGGGGACATTTTAAATGTAGTCTAGCCATGAAAGAAACAGAAAGGATTTATAGAGCTAAAACTCAGGTACCAAAAGGACTCAATGTAGGCTTTGATTTAAATTGTTCTATCAGCAATTCATGACATGAGAGGTTGTGGGTTGTCATTATAATATGGTTTCTTCGTAGAAAGCGATCCATGGTTTTTTTTTCCAGGTTTCTGTATGCCTTAGGTTGTTACTACGTATGCCTTAGATCAGGGGTGCCCACAATTGTCTTGAGATCTACTATTCAAATGACGAGATCCTAAAACCCTATACCTGGAAAGAGGGCTATCTTTGGGCTTCTTTAGATGTGGCCT